CTCGTGTACAAATCTGCAGTTGTGAGTAAAGGAACTGACTTATTACATAGCCTTGTGTTTAGGGTGAGAGTGGAGGAACAACCCATTAGTCAGCCAGTCCAGTAACCAGATTTATTTAATAAATGATGGCACGGTGGAATCTGTTTTTGTTCACTTGACGTTGGATTGAAATAAATTCAAAGACCAGATAATTTTTCTTATGTCCTGATGTGTACAACCCTAGAATTAAAACAACCAGGCTCTCTTTTTCCCATGACTTTAGGTGTAACCAAATCTATACACAAGTTGCAAAATCTAATTAGAAGCACATCTAGTTTATTTGTTTGTTGTGACGCATTTTAAAAAAACAAGTGAACAATATGAACTTTAGTTTCGGAAGACTAGCCGACAGATCTGTTTTAAAGTGTATTTTGAAGGAATTTAACAAGGAAATTGTTTCTTCCTGCAGGTGCAAAAGGCAGGAGAGGTAATGATGATGGCGGGAGTGGCTGCAGCTGTGGGCTTCGGTATCGTGGCTTTGGCAGGAGCTTTCTTTGGGGGCAACAAAAAAGAAAAGGAGAACCAGTGAATGAAATCCACATCGGCCCATTCCAGGGTTTGATGAATAATCGCAGATACCACTGCCTAAATACTGTACCATCCTAAATCTGTGATTTTAACAGGCACAATTTATTTGCACTTTGTTTGCTTTGCACATCCAACTGCCCCACATGTTTCTGTTGGTTTGAGGAAAAAAAATGAAGGCTGGCTGGTTTCAGGTCAACATTAAAAGAATAAATTTTAAAAAGCACAAAGTTAGCTCGCTTCAACGAATGAAACTGCCAAATAAATTTTTAGTCTACAACATTTTGACATTTTTAGTCTACCGATGTTTCACGATTTTTTAATTGTAAAAACGTATATTTAAGGAATAACGAGCACTTAACTAAATTTTTATCTAACATGTGACTCAAATGTAAATCTCTTAATATTGGTCAGCACTGAATTAATAAGTGTCCATTATTAAAGAGTGGTATAATATATAATAATAGCACATGCATGTTAAATAATTTTCTTCTGTTTAATATTAAAATAAAAAAAGTATGTGCAAATCTTGGTGATATTCTTTTACTTCCATGCATTTTCATAACCAAAAATACAAATAAAGGCTCAGCATTCTTCTTCAAGCTTTAGGTAAATCTATCTAAAGAGAGCCACAAATGAATCAGCTAATCTGTGGCAGCCATCTTGAATTGGGTTGACTCCAAAGGTTTAGTTGTAGATATACAGTACATCTTGTGATTACTTAAAGGTTTCATTAAAATCTCTCCAGTATGTCACGAGGTATTTTGGTAACAAAAATGAACAAAACATTGCTGCCCGCCTTCATGACGCAGGTGATCTGCTCATACAGACTCTGTCGTTTTGGCACATTGTTTTTGTACCATTAGTGCTTAGTGTATTCTTAGTTTAGTGCATGTAGTATATTCTTAGTTCATGACTCGGATCTTAATGTTTTTCTTTACAAATTGTATTTTTGTTATTTGTAACTGGGACCCTGTGTAGTTTCGTTCCACCTCATGTACCACATGTGATGTGAATGACAATAAAATCCTTGTATCCTTGATAATAAATCTGTTTCAAGCTAATGTCAAAAGGGTCCAAAACTACTAAAGCCAACTTGGCATTACATTTAAACCAATGAAGTAAAAAAAAAAAATCACATTGAAACTTTAAATTTGATGCTTTTGAAACATTTCAAATCAATAAGTTTTACTATGAAATGGATTCTGTAGCTAAAAAAAGACAATAGAACAAAAAGTGTAGCCAGAACACATGAATTACTGATGGTTAAAGTCACCTTCTATTTTAGATTCTCCTGTGTGTGTGTGTGTGTGTGTGCCACATAGGACCAAATAAGATGCAAACAGGAATGTTTAGAAAACCTGAACTCCCTTCATTTTCAGCCAGGAGACTACAAACATGTCACATTTGGCTTCAAACTGGATTCCCACGTTTAAAATCAGCACATTTCTGTGACTACTCTGTATCATTGAGTCCCAAAACATGTACTTTAATGTTAAACTCCATCACTTTAACAGTAACACACAGAGCTGCATGTGCAAATTAAAAACACCTGTGTAACGTCTTGGTGCACTCCAGAGTTTTGACAGATCACACGTGCATGCACGAACAATTAGGTCCTAAAAGGTGAACTGAAACAGTCACATCCACAGTGTGAGCGCACAGGTGCATCTCAAAAATGAATATTGTGTAAAAGTTCAATTTTTTTAGAAGGTGAAACTTCTTTAACAGGTTCATTAGAGTGAAATATTTCCTTTATTTCTTGTAATTTTGATGATTATGGCTTACAAATAACAAAAAAACTAAATTCAGGGTTAGAAAATTAGAATATTGTGAAGAGGTTCAATATTAAGACTCCTGTCTCACCCTGATCATCCGATTAACTCGTGGACATGAGCTACAAAGGTCTCATTCCTCAAGTCCAGCCACTCCTGAACCAGAGACGTCAGAAGCGTCTTACCTGCTGAGGAGACAAAGAACTGGACTGTTGCTCAGTGCTCCAACGTCCTCTTTTCAGATGAAAGTAAATTTTCATGTCATTTGGAAATTAAGGTCCTGAGTGTGGAGGAAGAAACCCAGAATCTCAGAATGAAGTTTCCACAGTCAGTGATGGTTTGGTGCCATGTTCTCTGCTGGCGTTGGTCCACTGTGTTTCCTGAAGTCCACAGACTCAGCATCTACCAGAACATTTTAGAGGCTTCATGCTTCCTTCTGCTCATGAGCTTTATGGAGATGCTGATTTCATTTTCCCAGCAGGACTCGGCTCCTGCCCACACTGACAAAAGGAAGCTGGCTGTGGAATATTCAACGTTTCTGAGACACTGTCGTTGTTTATCTGTAAGCCATAATCATCAAAATAAGAAATAAAGGCTCGACATATTTCACCCTGTGTGTAATGAATCTATATAATATACTGGTTTCATTTTAGAAAATGAAAGACAAAAAAAACTGAACTTTTTCATGATATTCTAATTTATGAGATGTACAGAGCGTACTGAAAAACATTCAGTATATCAACACGTTTGATTTAGAGTCTTTTATATATATATTTCCTTTTTTAAAAAGTGTCACTTCTTAAGACAAGATGCACCAGTTATTTACATTTACTGTATAACAGCAACATTTTGTAAAACTAACGCTTCTCCGTGCTGCTTCAAGTCTCTCTGGGTTTCTGTCTCTGCCTTCATCTTCATCAGTTATTTAACGAGACAGAGAATCCAACCCTAGAAGTCCCTCACTGGCAACAGTAACCTCTGTTTCGTGTTAAAGCGATCGTTCTGCTTTCTTTCTTTTGGTCCTTTACGCTCGTGGAACTCCAACGAAGTCCACTCCGACTCATGGACCAACCTCCCCGTTCCACCTGAACCCAACTCAGTCCAGTTTGCGCGCTCCAAGTTTGAGAGGACCTTTAGCAGCTTTACGCTCTGCTCGTTTCGCCTCCAGCTCTTTCCTCCTCTCTTCGCGTTTCTTTTTGGAAAGCTCTGCCTTGCTGAGATCTGTGCAAGAAGAAACAACGTGAGAAAGACACAGATTTAAGAGGAAAAACACGATAGTGGTTTTTGGTTGAAGTTCGTGTTGAGAACATGAAAAACAACTGATTTTAATTTGGAATTAAGGACACGAGATATGAAATCATATCTGCAGAGCATCACGGACAATTAACGCACAACAAAAAGCAATATTTGTTAAGGTCACTCGAAAACCACAACATGAAAGTATTTTTTTGGTCCCAAAGGAACTGTTGTGGTTAAACAAAAATGTCCAAGTTGTTTTAAGCGAGTCAAACTCAGATGCTGGTTTCACTTTTCAATAGTTGCCTAGCAACCTCAGCTGCAAAATGAGAGAATTAACTCTCCACCCTCTGCTCTCAGTTTCAGTGTGAAGGCTCAAGTTATTATTTCTGACATGTATCAGGAAATAGGAGCAGATATTTTTCTTTTCTGATATATTCTTCGTCTAATTTGTACGATGGAGCTTTAGGAGCTTTATGGGGGAAAAAAAAGCCATAAAATTATGAGAATAAAGTCCTAGTATTAAAGAGAATAATGTCGAATAAAGTCTTAATATTACGAGAAAAAAGTCGTACGAGACTTTTTGCAGCTCTTATTTTTTTATTTATTAATTTTCTTTTCATGAGTCGGATCCACAACATGACCTGTCAATCAATCCAGTAGGCGTGTCAGCAAACGACCAATCCAAAGCTAAACGAGTCGTAATATAATCCGAACTCTGACACGATAAAACAGGGTTTACTGCATTTTAACTGCAGTAAAATGAAGAATGTTGAGCATCTTAAGTTATACTTTGGTATTGTTTTTACAAACAAGGAGATAGTTAATCTGTCAGCACATCAGCATCAGATTATGATCAGTGTCAGGACTTTGAACCTGCTGACAGTAAGGTGGTCCTCTCCGATGGGCTGCAGCAGCTCTCTGCAGGTAATGAGCATTTAGCTTCAGAATGGTCATTTGATGACACGCCTACTGGATTGATTGACAGGTCGCGTTGTGGATCCGACTCGTGGAAAAAATAAACAAACAACAGCTGCAAAAAAAAAAAAGTCTCGTACAACTTTATTCTCGTAATTATATGGCTTAATTTTTTTTTCTTAGCATGGCCCTAAAGCTCCGTCATAAATTTGTGGCCATCTGGCTGACTTTTATGGCTCTGGGAGACCAGATGATCTAAAACGATAAAGTGATTCTAGTTTAAATTGTTCTGCGTCACACAGTCAGACTGATGTTTGGAGAAGAGGCTGAATAAACAACAAATTGGACTTTACGCTGAAGAACTTACTCTGGCTTCCATCTACTGACTCCCAGCTCTCCTCAGTCCCCCAGTCTCCAACTGTGTCTGAACCCCAGCCCTCTCCAGCCTGTCAAAGAGAAAACATCACTGATCCAGTCCACATGCACCTTTAACCCAGTTAAATCAGGCTGCTGGGTTTTCATCACTTTCTATAATGTCTGGATAAGCACAAGCTTGTTTGAAAGCCGTTTAATATGTAATGGATTTAAATTTTGCAGCTAAGACCAATTTATGTTGAATTTAAAGCAACAGAAGCTGATTTTTTTTTGCACCTCATCAGTGGTTCCCAAACTTTTCACCTTCAGACCCTTCAAAATGACTGCGGCAGAGGCTTGTGAGCCAAAATATTACTGGCTTAAACATAAAAACTTTGGCCGTAACTCTTTAAAACAAGGGCACCACTATGATCCAAGTATCCCAATCTATTTGATCAATTCATGAATATTGTATTTTCTATATAATTTATAAAAAAAAAAAATAAACAATTACCAATCTTTTTACATTTAATTTGATTTTGGGAGAAAATCTGGGGACCCTCAATTGATGTTTCATGACCTACATTGGAGTCCCAAGCTCAACTTCAGGAACCACGACGACGACATTTGAGTCATTTTATTTTTGTTAAACTGAATGCAGTTAAATAATTTCAGTTTTATATACCAAAATTGTAATTTTAATTAACAGTTTGTGTTTGATTACACTCACTTTAATGGTGATAAAGTGTGATTTTTAAATCCTTTACCAAAATAAATAAAAAACTTAGTTTTCATCAGCTTCATCTGCGCAGATTTCCAGGCAGACTCTCTGCATACTCCAGTTTGATATGTTTAAAATCTTTTTAGATCAAACTCGTTCTCAAAGGCGAAACTAACAAAAGGTTTGACACTGGTTCGGTGTGACTTCCCCTCGTGCGCTCTCACCGTGGCAGCGCCGGTGTTTCTCTGCGACAAACTGGCAAACAGGTCGTTCTGCGTGGCTCCTTTCCCCGAGCTGCTGCTGCTGTCCCAGTTGTACTCGCTGGCTAACCGCACGCCCTCAGGCAGGTGGACCGCCGTGCTGGCAGAGGTCACGTCCGTCTCCCCCTCCCCCCAGTCGTTGCCCCATCCATCCTCGCCTGCTGAACTCTGACCCTGGCCTTCTTTCTCGTTGGACCAGCTGTCATCGGCGTCCCAGCCCGAGCCGCTCCAGTCTGAGCTCTGCTTTTTCACCGCCGCGGACGTGGACAACCGGCCTGCCTGAAGGTTTAACCAGATATAAACAGTTATTACCAACAGCAGCGGTGCTAATGGGGTGGGGATGGGGGACGACAAAAGATTCATACATCTCTGTTATCAGTCTTCTTTTTGGGCAATGCCGTTCCTGACCAGTCGGTGTTCCAGTCATCAGTGCGAGCTCTCTCCGGCTCCTACAGTGAATGAATTATAAAACTTTAAAAGCTCAACAATATCCATAAAATCATCCTCTCACAAATTTAAAGAAGTTCTACCTCCAAACTTCCCCAGTCCTCCTCGTCATCCCAGCGGTCTCCTGCTGTCTCGTCGTCATTCTCAGCGACGTCAAGAGTCTCCGATTGGTCGGTGCGACCGGAGGCAGCTTGGTGAGTTTTATCTTCTAAACCCGAGGAGAAACACACAGGACGAGTTTAAGATAACAGGAAAAAACTATTTTAATTAAGCTTTTTAAAAAAAACATTTTAAGACTTTTAGCACCAACTTTAAGCAGCGCAGCAACTTTCTTTTTTAATTCATCGTGTAAATCAGACGTTATACCTTTGTTTGGGGCTGAAGCTCCATCAGAGGCACCTATGGGACTGGGATTGGCTGCCCGACCGCCCTCAGCTGCCACGCTCCCCTCTGTACCTGGATTGTTGCGAATCAGCTTAGAGGTGAGCGAGGAGACACCAGTCACGGCCCAGCCGGCCCAACTGGAGGAGGAACCTGCAGGCTGAGCACACGATCCTACATCCTTCTCTGCAGCAGACCAGAGGAAGGTTTTAGATGCACGAATTTTAGAAATTACTACATAATATCAACATTACTGGTTGAACTCTATATTTTTAGTATATTTTTTCGTCGTTCCACCCTCTTCATCCACAGGATCTTACCACAGGTAATCTAGTCTCGGATTACAGGAAATCACACGAGTTTTACGACATAACTCTTTATAACAATCACTACAGTTTATATTTCTGATTTCATCATCTCAATGTCCTGCTACCATGTTGGACTCACTGGTAGCTCTCAGAGTTCTGAAATGTATAT